AGCCATTTTGGAGGCAAGGGCTGCCTATATAAACAGTGCAGTGTAGCTGCTGGAGGCCAGGCAGCAACATCACCTGGCTGGAGGGCTGCTGAGAACAACCTGGAGGTAAGGGGGAGAGTTGCAAGGGGATGGTAAGGAGGCTCTTGGTCCTGGGCATGACCTGAAACTGCACCCTGCTGGGAGTGGGTGGCCTGGTGGGGCTCTCAGTGGTGCGGGAGTCCCCAGGAAATGCCAGGCCAGTTATCACCCCAGTGAAAGGTGGGTTGGGGTGCCTTAACCCCTAGCTCCACCACCGGGTGGGTAACCCTGTGTTTGGAGGGGCCCAGAGGGTGGACCCCAAGAGAGTGATTGAGTACAGGGTGTGGTGCTGTGGTTGCCCCTGGGAGAAAGGGAGTAGTGGCACGGTGGAGCCTGAGGAAGGGAGAGTGAGAGGCTAGAGACCCAGCCTGGAGTAGAGTACTCTCGACTGGCCCAAGCTGGGGCCAGGACCAGGAGGGTCAAAAGGGCCAGGGGGGCAACGCGCGGGAAGCCCAACACTGACTGGCCTGGAGGTGGGCCAGGGCTAGTGGCCAAAGGTCCCAGGGGGACCACACCTGAGAGGGGAAAATGGCTTCGGGGGGCTAGGTAGCCTGGATGAAGGCAGAGAGGCTGCCTGATAGGAGAGGATCATAGAGGGGTCCTGTATGGATGATTCTGGGGCCCAGTGTGGCCCAGCATCTGTGAGGCTTGGGCTGCGGTATTGGGGAGGATCGGAGCTGCAGAAAGCGTCCCCTGGCATCGGGGCACTAAATGGGCAGCCTCCTGCTTAATTGACATCAATCAGTGAATCAATTAACACCAAGGCGTGGCGGGCGAGATAGCGGGCGGTTGCCCAAGGACAGGTGGGCGGGCCACAGAGTTCGGCCCCAAGGAGGCCCCTGTCACACTGATCATCAATCAATTTGTTGAGATGTTCCAAACCAGATAACCCCTTGTCAAGAGAAAAGACAATGATTTACACTACTGAGGATGCTTCAAAGCAGCTGAACTGAGGGTATAAAAATCTGTAAAAAAGCAGCAGCATGTGCCCTTCAAGAAGAAGAAAACTCCTGTGCTGACACCATCCCCTGTTCGTCTTGGGACGCTGGAAGAACAGATCATCTCCCTTCAAGGACTGTGCCCGAGTACCTTGGACTGGTGAGATCCCAGCACTCTCTCTTCTCTCTAGGCATAAATTTCTGAACCTGAAC